CTCTCTCTCTAAAAAAAAATATATATATATATTAAAAAAATAAAAACCAAGCAAACAAAATACACGTTATGTTCCTTGGCACTCCAGGGGAAGAGAGAAAATTCAATGCTTCTTGGTTGATAATTGGGGCGGGGCGGGGGGGAGGGCTTCATGAAATGGCAGAAAATACATCTGTATCCAGGTCAGAGAGGAGGATAATCCTGAAAGGGAAGGAGCCGGAGTCATCCTAGATCATAAATTCAAGCACTAATCCTTTATGTCTGTGTAGGACCATGGGTTTCCCAAGCAATGACACAAATTATCTTATTCATCGACTCTTAGGAAATGCAGAAATAGACCACTTTTAAGGGGCGCCTGGGTGGCGCAGTCGGTTAAGCGTCCGACTTCAGCCAGGTCACGATCTCACGGTCCGTGAGTTCGAGCCCCGCGTCGGGCTCTGGGCTGATGGCTCAGAGCCTGGAGCCTGTTTCCGATTCTGTGTCTCCCTCTCTCTCTCTGCACCTCCCTCGTTCATGCTCTGTCTCTCTCTGTCCCAAAAATAAATAAAAACATTAAAAAAAAAATAAAAAAAAAAAAAGAAATAGACCACTTTTTTTTACAAGGCTTGTTGCCTCAACCCCCTGATTTTCTCCTTCCAAGTTTACTTCACTGGGGAATTTAGGCATTTGTAAGATTTAAAATATCATTTTTAACTCTGTATCCATGGGTCCCCAATTCTGTTCTTAAAAGGCGTCTGGCTCTTGGGAACTGACACACTTGTCCCAATGTTGTATGAAGATATCGAAGAATATCCAGGGTCACCTGCGGGGCTCAGTCCATTGAGCATCCGACTTTGGCTCAGGTCACGATCTCACGGTTCCTGGGTCATCAGGCTCTGAGAGCCTCACATCAGGCTCTGTGCTGACAGCTCGGGGCCTGGAGCCCGCTTTGGATTCTGTGTCTCCCTCTCTCTCTCCCCTTCCTCTGCTCGTGCTCTGTCTCTGTCTCTCTCAAAAATAAACATAAAATGAAATAAAATAAAATCAGAGTAGAAATAAGTCTTAAAGAATGATTCTACATTTAGTTACAATAAAGGACTATAAATAGCAAAAGTAAAGTATAATTAAATTAGTGAGTATCTCAAGGTTGTTATTTATAGACCCTTAGAAGTATGTGTGTGTGTGTGTGTGTGTGTGTGTGTGTGAGGGAGACAGAGAGAGAGAGAGAGAGAAAGAGGTTGGAAGAGAAGGAGACTGCTTATAGGGAGACAAAGAAGAGATGGAGAAAGTGAGAACAAAGAAGTCAAGAATGTTCTAGAAAAGGCTAGCGCTGAGTATTAGAATAGGAAGGATCTCAGAACGCCCGCTGATCCAGCCCCGTCATTTCAGGCGCAGAAAGGTCTGAAAAGTCAGCTGAAGAGAGACAAAGCTTAGCTTAGACTCTGGTCCACTGAGCCCCTCCGGTTCCCTCTCTTTCTGTAATAGGACATTCTTCTCTAATCCTAGAAATACCCTACGCACAGGGCTCGACCACCTTTACGTTTCAAGTCCCTGGAAGATAAAATCCCCCCCGTAGAGGGAAAATTCCCTTACAGTGCTTCTGAGGCAGAAAGTGACATTGAACGTGAGCCCTGATTACAAGAATTGGTTTTTCTTGGTCCTATCTGGTAGTTTACCCAGCGTTAGGAGATCAGCAATCTAGAAGGGGAATATGGGGTTGCTAACTGAAGTGGGGGCCGAGGGTGGGCACGTCTCCCGGCTCTGTGGCGGCTGCCCCCACAAAGCCCCATCAAGGCTTGTCTTGGCCTTGACAGGAGTTTTATAAATGATCCGTTTGAGAGCTGTGCTATCAGCTGTGTGCTACTGTGGACAGCTGCTTCGATGCAGAGCTCTCTCATAGCCTGGAATTATCAGCTCTTTGCATATGTGCTACTGGAGATAAGGAAAGAAACGTGTTTTCCTTGCCTGGAAATGGACAATCTAAGGACAGTGGGAAAGGTAACAGAGAGGTGCGGAGGGCAGGATGCAGAGAAACCAGAAGGAAGGTCCTTTGTTACATTTGTGCAATGTTTGCTTCTTTCCGTTGCTTTATTTTTTCCCTTCTGTTTGTTACAATCCGGACACAGAGTAGGTGCTAAGTCAATGTGTCTCTCTTCAATTTTTTTTTTAAAGTTTATTTATTTCAGGGACAGAGACAGAGCACAAGCAGGGGAGGGGCAGGGAGAGCCAGACAGAGAATCTGAAGCAGGCTGCAGGCTCCGAGCTGTCAGCACAGAGCCGGACGTGGGGCTCGAACTCACGAACCACGAGATCATGACCTGAAGCCAAAGTTGGACACTTAACCGACTGAGCCACCCAGGCACCTCTCAATGTGTCTTTTAAGTTTCCAACAGGAAAAGCGACACTGCGGTTTTGCAGGATCTGGGGGATTAGGACTGCCTGGAGGTTCTTACTAAAATTGCCAGCAGGTGACCCCTGCCACCGGCTTTTGGTTTTGAACAGTAGAAAAGGATACACAGTCTGTCCCATGCACAGAATGTCACCCGTATGCTATAAAGAAAACCTCCAAAGTCATGACATCATCTTGAAACGAAGCACGCAGACAAAATAAACTTTGGGAAAGCCATCAACGAGTGTCCATTAGACACAGTCGGTCGATGTGGCTGTCCCACACGCCATTCTGAAGGGGAAAGCCATCATCGCTCCTCCAGGGACCCCGGGGAACGGCATCAGCGGTGCCCTTCGACAAGAAACAGCCCTGCTCAGAGCCCTCCCCTCGCCCCAAATTCAGAAAGTCCTCGCTGCACACATACACATTTATTAGCCTATCGACACAACCTATTACCATAGACATCCACTCTCACGACTAACGCTGCTCAGGTCCCAGAAGCTTCCACAAGTCTCCCCCCGTGGCTTCAAAGCAAACGGCTGAATGCCGACAACTGACACAGGTCTGGGCTTCTGCTGACGCGGACACGAAAGTGGACACAGATCTGGTTCCGGGAAGGTCTGAGGGAGGGAAGCAGTTCGCGGCGAGAAGAGACAAGTCGCTTATCAAATAGTGCTGATCAGAGAGCACGCAGTACCTACTGGGTACGAAAGTAGCAGTTGCACCAGCTCGGCTAGTGATGCTGAGCGTTCATCTCCTGGCTTCACCTCTTCTTCCAATTCACGGCCCCAGAGGTGCTCACAGGCCAGCCCTGTGCTCACAACAGGTGCACTGGGAGGTGGAGGGACGTTCCGCCTCACAAAGCGAATGGTGCTACTCAAAACCTCGTGAATACGTAGGGTCCAGGGGAAACAGGCAAAGCAGGACACGGAAGTCTTTGCCTGGGCAGCCCGGTGGATGCTGAAAGCCAGGCTTTGGAGCGGTTCTAATTTTATGGAAATGTTTCATAATGTGCAATCCCCGTTTTTAAAAATGAAGCGTTAAGGAAGACGTTTGTTGGGATGAGCACTGGGCGTTACGCACAGGGGATGAACCAATGGATTCTAACTCCTGAAATCATTATTGCACTGTAAGGTAACTAACTTGGCTGTAAATTAAAAACAAAACATCAGGGCGCCTGGGTGGCTCAGTCGGTTAAGCGTCTGACTCCTGGTTTCGGCTCAGGCTGTGATCTCACGGCTTCATGAGTTCAAGTCCCACGTCAGGCTCTGCGCCGACAGCACGGGACCTGTTTGGGATTCCCTCTCTGCCCCTCCTCCGCTCATGCTGTCTCTCTCAAAAATAAATAAGTTTTTTCAATTAAAAAAGGAACTTTAGGATTTTTTTCTTTCAAATTTTGATACGTACTCATTATAACCGGTATTTTACCTTTGGATTTTGATAGCTAACTTAGAATCCTCTAGAAGAAAAGTCACTTATGAAAACTAAGGAAAATCATTTTAATTTTTACATCAACTCTAATTTACGGTTTCGATCAAAAGATGCCCAAATGTGCACATTTGCTCTTTCAAAATCTCTCAAAGGGTTGCCAAACTATGGCCCACTGGTCAAATCCGGCTGTTTTTGTGGTAAAGTCTTATGGAAACACAGCCATGACCATTTTGCAGATGACAGCAGAGCTGGGAGCAGTTGTGACAGAGCCCATATGCCCATCAAGTCTAAAATCCTATCTTAGGGGCACCTGGTTGGCTCAGTTGGTTAAGCGACTGACTTCGGCTCAGGTCATGATCTCTCGGTTTGTGAGTTCGAGCCCCAAGTTGGGCTCTGCGCTGACAGCTCAGAGCCTGGAGCCTGCTTTGGACTCTGTCTCTCTCTCTCTCTCTCTCTCTCTCTCTCTCTCTCAGCCCCTCCCTTGCTCACACTCTGCCTCTGTCTCTCCAAAATAAATAAATTTAAAACATTTAAAATAAAATAATATACTATCTGGGCCCTTTCAAAAACACACGTTTGCCAATCCGTGCTTTGGATAGTTTTTGTCAATAGGACAAACTTAGTAACAGAATTAGCATCTGCCTGAAATTAAGCATAAAAAACGGAAGATACTGCCGAAGTATAGACGAGCTCATGATTTGTGTGTGTCCTAATTTTATGACTCGTCTAAGCTTTGATGACTCATCAACAGAATACCCAGCTGAGCAACAGAATGACATCTACTTATCTCTGGCATTTGACCAATACTTTCAGACATGTAAAAAAAAAAAAAAACCAAAAACAAAAAAACCAATAGATTTCAACATACTTTTCTGTTCCGTTGTTAGGAAGGAATATCCCTAAACAGAGGAGAAGAGAATATATGTCATTTAACAGTTTATTAGCTTGATTTAGGACTTTTTAACCATTCAGACCGATGGGATACGGGACCTCCACTTGCGTTTGTGTTCAGGGACCGGACGGCGTGGATGTCGGGGCTGAGGGAAGTCACGGGGCTTAGAAATGTCATCCTAAAAAAGAAGCAGGCACACAAAGGAGGCTCTGGTTCCAATCAAGCCCGAGGGCCCTCAGGAGCTGGACTTTCCAAATGAGAGATGTCACAGACATGCTCTCACAATATCTGAGTGATTGCACAGGGGAAGAAAAAGTCATAGGATCTAGGGTGAGACCATCCAGAAAACACCTGCATTCCAAATGTACGTTGTTTTAACATTTTTAAGTTTTATTTATTTATTTTGAGAGAGCGAGAGAGCGAGCACAAGCAGGGGAGGGGCAGAGAGAGAGGGAGAGAGAGAGAATCCCAAGCAGGTCCCCCTGCTGTCAACACAGAGCCTGATGCGGGGCTTGAACTCACAAACTGAGCCAAAACCAAGACTCAGGTGCTTCAGCGACTGAGCCACCGAGGCGCCCCTACTCTGAAATCTTTACTAATTAGAATAGCAGGTCAACAGTGGAAAAGGGAGAACAATACAATAGTAACTATTGAAGTCTGAAGTTTAACAAATAAGAAACAAAGACAACGGAAGGGGTACGTTGTCTTTTGTCTCCAGAACATTAGCAGATCAGACTTACAGATTTTTAATAATTATCGCGATTTCCACCTACTAATATTCCAAGGAATGTTCTACAGAGTTCTGGGGCCAAAACACCTTTCCATGAGTGAGTGATAGGACTCTTTCATGGAATTTTGGAATACGTGGAGGGTTTTGTTTTCTTTGGTCTCTTACACCAGACAAATGCCAGTAAAGAGAAGGAGATCTTCCAGCTTCCGACCAACAGAACTGTGACAGACCTTAGGGCATAGAATTCTGGCAACAGTGAGAGAAATCTGGAACCCCTATTTATAGACAGACCCTTGGGAAGGGGGCCACAGGGAAACACCGGGCTGGGGTGGGAAGGATCACAACAGGCAGGAGGTTGGAGGAAGGATGCTTTACGTTTAAAGCCATGAGTATATTTTTAATATAAAAAATGAAATAAAAGTTGCACATGTCAAAAAGCTACACCATAGAAATAGGAGAAAAATCAGAGAAGCATACAATCCTAAAAAGGAGAAGTACCCACCACCCATCACTCAGATGCAGCATTTTAAAATATATCCGTCTAGACTATGCATTTCTTCATAACTGATTTGCAAAATGAAATCATTTTGTGCATATGTCATTCTACACAGCTTTTTAAAAGCACTAGGGATAAACAGAAAACATCACTCCTGGTATGAACTACGCGTCAACTTCATTTTAAATGACTGTGCAGTATCCCATTGTACGAATCGCCATAAAGTGTTTGCTGAATCCCTTATCGTTGGGCACTTAGGTTGTTTCCATAGGTAAAGATTCTAATGTTTTATTATTTTCTTGACCTGGAAAGGAAAGCATGTGTATTTTGTTTGTTATTTATTTTTATTTCTTTTTTTGAGAGAGCGGGAGAGTGTGCGAGCAGGGGAGAGGGGCAGAAAGAGAGAGAGAGAGAGTCTCAAATAGACTCCACACTCAGCTTGGAGCCCGGGAGCCCGATGTAGGGCTCCATACTACGACCCTGGGATCATGACCTGAGCGAAAGTCAAGAGTTGGACACTCAACCGACTGAGCCACCCAAGTGCCCAAGGTAGGTATGTTTTGAAAGTTTTTAAATCGTGTTGCAGGGGCGCCTGGGTGGCGCAGTCGGTTAAGCGTCCGACTTCAGCCAGGTCACGATCTCGCGGTCCGTGAGTTCGAGCCCCGCGTCGGGCTCTGGGCTGATGGCTCAGAGCCTGGAGCCTGTTTCTGATTCTGTGTCTCCCTCTCTCTCTCTGCCCCTCGCCCGTTCATGCTCTGTCTCTCTCTGTCCCAAAAATAAATAAACGTTGAAAAAAAATTAAAAAATAAATAAATAAATAAATAAATCGTGTTGCAAACTTGTCTTCTATGAAGGTATTTACACTTTGTCCTTGAATTTTAATGTATTTTTTGAATATCTTATTTCTACTTGAGTAGATTAAGGTACATGTTTTTCATGGCCTAATTAATACTATGCATTTTGGTATTGCACAATTACTGCTGATAAACATAGGAAAATGATGTTTCAATATTTTAATACTTACATTTTAAACTAGTGAGCATTTTCCCAGATGTTTATTAGTTATATGATTTTTTAAGACATTTCCTGGTTATGTATTTCTTTTGCTGGGATGCTTTCTTCCTTAGATTTTAAGCATTTTCCTTATGTTGACAATACTTATACATTTTTATGTATGTGTTTATATACACTTACATGTTTTTGTATATATGTAGCAAATGTTCTGATTTGTCATTTTTAATCTCTTTGTTTATGGTATTTACAATTTTTTAGTATTTATTTATTTAATTTGAGGGGGGAGGGGCACAGAGAGAGAGAGAGAGAGAGAGAGAGAGAATCCCAAGCAGGCTCCTTGCCATCAGCACACAGCCTGTCGACCAGGAGATCATGACTTGAGCCAAAATCAAGAGTCGGTGCTTAACCCACTGAGCCACCCAGGCGCCCTGGTATTTACAGAAATTTTTAATTTTTTTAAATGTTTATTTATTTTTAAGACAGAGAGAACAGAGCAGGAGCAGGGGAGGGACAGAGAGGGAGGGAGACACAGAATCCGAAGCAGGCTCCAGGCTCTGAGCTGTCAGCACAGAGCCTGACGCGGGGCTCGAACCCACAAACTGTGAGATCATGACCTGAGTCGAAGTTGGACCCTTAACCAACTGAGCCACCCAGGAGCTCTGGTATTTACAAAAACTTTTAAACGTCTTTACATCTTCCAGGTCTTTTCTTTATGACCCTTGTTTTTCTTTTATGATGTTTTCTACGTAGGGTTGTGCTGCTGCTAACATGAAATAGCCATTCCCCTCTGATTTTAATTTTACTCTGAAATTCATTTCAGTGACTGCTGAGATTGAATTCTAATTTTTTTTAAATGACAGGTAACTGACTTTTCATCCAGGACTGACACGTACTCCATATTTGAAATCCCATGTCACTGTCATGTGCGTTAAGTTCTGCTATTCTATGTTTATGTTGGCACTAGGAGGACACTTTTAAAATTATTATAACTTCAGGATATGTCTTAAATCTAAAATGACATGGCTTCTGCCTTCTATTCTTGAAAATGTTTTCTTTTTATGTATTAAATGGGTTTTCTTCCAAAAGAAAGAATTATAAAATATGTGCATCAACTCCTCTTCCCCTCTTCATTTCCACTGGCACCAACAACACCATTACATGCACGGACTAATTTAGGAAGAAATGACAGCTCGCTGTATCGAATCCGTCAATCTACAAAGATGAGATGGCTTTCATTCATACAGATTTTCTTTTACGTTCCTAATAAAACTTTTCTTTTTTTCGTATTTAAATGAACACACGGCAAAACTGGCTTTTTTGGGGAGCACGGTTCTATGAAATTCGATAGGTATCGAGATTCGTGTGACCACGACCTCAAGTCAGCGTATAAAACACATCTATCACTCTGATGTTGTGCTCTCGCTTGGTAGTCTTACCCTCTCCTTCATCCCTAACCCCCAGCAAATGTTGATCTGCTTTCCATCACTGTAATTTTGACTTTCTGAGAATTATCAGATAAATGGAAATTTTTGTCATATAACCTTTTGAGCCTGGCTTCTTTCAGTCAGCATAGTGCCTCTGAGATCCATTCAAGCGGCTGCATGCATCAAGAGCTTGTTCTTTTTCAATGTTGAGTAGTATTCCACTGTATGGACATACCACAGCTTTTTTCTTATTCATTCACATGTTGAGGACAGTCGCGTCGGGTCCCGTTTTCAGCCATCATGAATAGAACTGCTATAAACCATCTGGTGTAGGTTTGTGTGAACTGATTTTTTTTCTCTCTCAGATAACAAGCAAGTTGTCTGGTTTCCAGGTCGTTCAATAAGTTACATATTTAACTTACCAAGAAACTGCCAAATTATTATTTTTTATTTTAGAGAGAGAGAGAGAAAGAGAGAGTGTGGGCAACAGAGAGAGAGAGAGAGAGAGAGAGAGAGGGAGAGAATCCTAAACAGGCTACGTGCTTAGTGTGGAACCCGATGTGGGGCTTTGATCCCACAGCCCTGGGATCATGACCTGAGCCAGAATCAGGAGTCAGCCGCTCAACCTACTGAGCCACCCATGCGCCCTGCCAAATTATTGGAAAGAGTAGCGATACTATTCACATTTCCAAAGCAATGTATGAGAATTCCAATTGTTTCAGCCCTTGTCAACACTTGATACTCTGTGAAGGTTGTGTTTTGTTTTTGTTTTGTTTCTTTGGGGTGTGTGTGTGTGTGTGTGTGTGTTTGGTCTTTCTAACAGTTATGCAGTGGTATCTCATCGTGGTTTTCATTTACATTTTCCTAACGGCTAATGAGACTGAACATCTTTTCATTTGCTCAACTGCCTCTTTGGGGAAATGTCTGTTGAAGTTTTTGGCCCATTTTTTAAATTGGGTTGTTTATTTATGTTTTTTTACTTCTGAGTTTTGAAAGTTCTTTATATATTCTTTAAAAAATTTTTTAAGCTGTACATTGATTTATTTTTTAAGTAAACTCTACTGGCAAGTTGGGGCTCCAACTCAGGACCCCAAGATCAAGGACCACATGCTCTGCAGACTGTGCTGGCCAGGCGCCCTGTAAAATTCTTTATAAATTCTACCTAGACGTCCTTGTTTAGATACGGGATTCTGAAATGTTTTCCCAGTCTGTGGTTGGTCTTCTCATTTTTTTTTTCATGACTGCTTGACTATTTTGTGATGATTAAATTTTGAACTTTTTTTTTTCCGTTCTTTTTTATTTTGGGGGAGAACATTTAAATGCTACTCCCTTAGCAAATTTCGATTATGCAACTGTGTTCCCAACTACAGTCACCATGTCTTATGTTAGATCCTCAGGGTTTACTCATCTTGTAAATGAGAGTTTGTGCCCTTTTACCAGCCTGTCCCTACCTCCCCAACCCCGAGCCTTCAGTAACTACATTTCTTTTTGTTTTAAATCTGATTTTAATGGTCTATTTATTTTTGAGAGAGAGGGAGAGACAGAGTATGAGAGGAGGAGGGGAAGACAGAGAGGGAGACACAGAATCTGAAGCAGGTTCCAGGCTCTGAGCTGTCAGCACAGAGCCCGACGTGGGGCTCGAACTCACGAGCTGTGAGATCATGACCTGAGCCAAAGTTGGACACTTAACCAACTGAGCCACCCAGGCACCCCAGTTTTTTTTGTTCTTTATGTTTAGTTTTGGGGAAGAAGGGGCAGAGAGAGAGGGAGACCTAGAATCCAAAGCAAGCTCCAGGCTCTGAGCTGTCAGCACAGAGCCCGGCGTGGGACTCAAACTCATGAAGTGCAAGGTCATGACCTGAGCCAAAGTTGGACACTTAACCAACTGAGCCACCCAGGCACCCCTGGTAACCACTTTTCTGTTCTCTGTTTCACTTTGACTTTTCTTTTTAGATCCTCATAAAAGTGATACTACATAGTACCTGTCTCTCTTTTAGCAGTGTCTTTGGCTGAGCAAAAGTTTTAATACTGATGAAGTTCAATTTATCCATTTACTTCCTGGATTATGCTTTTGGTGCCATGTTTATGAACTCTTTGGTCACAAGTCCCCAGTGAAGTTTTTTCTAGGCAGGTTGTGTGTATTTCTTGTTGCCATTATTCCTAAATAGCTTTTATTTTTGCTACTATTTTGAATGGGTTATTGACTTTTCATTTTATCTAAATATACCTTAAAATGTTTATTAAGATGCAGAAGTCCTATGTCCTATGTGGCAATTTTCGTTGAAACTCTTTCTTCCAATAAATTGAACATATTTTTGTTTACACAGAATTATGGTTATGTAACGTCAAATAGGTCACACGGCATATTTGTGACGGATGTTTCCATTTGCATCTATCTCATTATCAATAGCCTACAAGAATACATGAGTGTCAAAAATATTTTAGGGGTAGACTAGATATCTAAAATATAGATTAAGAAAAATAAAATAAAATAAAATAAAATATAGATTAAGATATGGATATGACAGAATCCATATTCTGGCCACTTGCACACTTGTTACGAGGTAAGAATTAAGAACTATGACGGATGGGCAAGTCGGTCATAATGATGATCTAACCTCAAGTACCCAGATCTGCCTCTGGTGTAGTCAAGTCTGACATGGGGCCATGCTCCTACGAACTGAAGGCAGTAAGTTTTTTTTGTTTTGTTCTGTTTTGTTTTGTTTTGTTTTCAACGTTTATTTATTTTTGGGACAGAGAGAGACACAGCATGAACGGGGGAGGGGCAGAGACAGAGGGAGACACAGAATCGGAAACAGGCTCCAGGCTCTGAGCCATCAGCCCAGAGCCCGACGCGGGGCTCGAACTCACGGACCGCGAGATCGTGACCTGGCTGAAGTCGGACGCTTAACCGACTGCGCCACCCAGGCGCCCCAAAGGCAGTAAATTTTTAACCTAAGTTCTGGAGTAAGAATCGAGAGGTAGTGAGCCCACGTGAGTGTATGTAAAAAACGTGAGGGTGAGCATATGTGCATTTTTCTGGGAAAAAAGACCGAAATTTCATCACTCTCTAAAAAACACCATTCCATTTCAAGAAGGCACATGCCTGTTCTCTCCCCATTCTCTCATTTCAAACATAACCAACTCACTGTACGAATTCAACAAGTATGTTTGAACGAATGAACGAATAAATATTTACTGAATTACTCTTATACGGTGAAAACATTACAAGTGTATCTTACATCTGCATCTTACAAGCGTAAAATTTTTCTTGTTTATTCATTTATTTTGAGAGAGAGAGAGAGAGTGTGCAAGAGGGGCAGAGAGAGAGAGAGAGAGAGAGAGAGAGAATCCTAAGCGGGATCCAGGCCGTCAGCATAGATAGCCTGACACAGGACTCAAACTCATGAACCTGTAAAATCATGACCTGAGCCAAAACCAAGAATCAGAGGCTCAAATGACTGAGCCACCCAGGCGCCCCATGATTTTTATTCTGCAAACATTTAGTGACTGCCTCCTTTGGCCAAGGACCCTACTGGAACATGGAACTTCACGGACAAAAGGGCAATGATCCTCCTCTCAAAGAGAAAGGCGTAACAACAAATGTATTTCAGTGGGAGAAGTACCAGGATGGGAGTGTTCATTATGTTTGGAGAAGGAGCGCCTGACCTGCTTAAGGACTGTGGAGAAGAAGCTTCACAAATACAGTGGTGCTTGGGTGGAGACCAGAGTGCTGATGACAACTGAGCTCTAAGTAGCTTCCAGAACACGTCAATGGCACACACTGGGAACTTGAGGTTATTGCAGAGTGAGTGTGATACGGAGGCTGGGAGCCCATCTTCAATTGTGTACATTCTCTTTACCGTGGATTTTGCTAGTGTTTATCAAA